CTGGCGCCGCCGGGGCCGTGGGTCGCCCCGCTGGCCTGCCCGCCGCTGGCCTGCAGCTGCTGTGAGCCGGAGTCGCCAGCGGGCGATTTAAATCGCTTAAAGAGCACTGTGAAAGGTGTCAGCAAGAGGGGTTTTAACGCGATGCTGTAAAAGCGTGACTCGGTGCCGCTCGATGGTGAGGGGCGCTGGGTTACCGAGCGGTGACCGGAAGGTGCCGAGGCAGAGTCGGAGTTACCGAGGTGCAAATCGGAGCCACCGCGCGCCGGGCTGTGGGCAACGCCGGCCGCTTACCCAAGATCTGCTGCTGGTGAGAGGCCTCTGCCTGGAGGAGCGACCTTGGGGCACCCCAGCTCGAGGGGGGATGGCCGCCGGGCTGCCGAGCAGGGAGAGCTCAGAGGAGGCTTACTCAGGCTCTCCGATTTGCGGGGTAAAGCTGTCGGCTTGCAGTCAAGTTACACGCAACGGGGAATGTAGGCACGAGACTCCTTGTAGCCACAGCTCGCTTTGTTCCTTGATAAAGGAGTCTTGGAAAAGCCACCCATTTTTCATGTCTTAATTGCGTGATCGGTGTTCCAAGCTCATATGCGTCGATGCTCACTGTGTCACTCTGCTCCTTTGCGGGTTGTCAGAGAACAGATTGGAACTGGAGAATTTCTTGGCTCGGTTACATCTTTGGAGCCTGTACCAAACCACCGTGAGTTCGGTTAACGGGTCAAGTGCATCTGTCACACTTGTCCAGGCAGGGATGGCACCAGCAGCCACCACTTCATCCCCACCCGTTGAGCTCTGAGGGCTACAACTCTCTGCTGCAGACACAGCCTCAAATGGGGCATAAGCGGGTGCTGTTTAATATGCTGGCCAGGGTAGAAAGCCCCTTGCCCCAAAAAACACTTGCAGCACAGCTGAGATAAAGGGTCTGTCCCTCTTGCCTCCTCCCCTGCCCTCTGTTCCTGCCTGCTGGGCTCAGGGCACCCAGGAGGCTCCACCTTGGGCTCGTCCGCCAATTTGGTTGCTCTCAGGGGGTCCGTCCCCTTTTCCATCCCCTGATGAGGTCAGAAAGAGAGGGGTGACCTCCCCAGTGAACAGCCCCCAGGCAGTCACCCCCCTGCTCCCCAGTGTCTCGTTTTCTGGAAGGAGGATGGAGGTGCTGGGTGACCTCCACGTCGCAGCTGGCCGTGACACGTACCTGGGGAGTGGGGGTGGCGGCGGCTGCGGGGGGCAGAGGTGACCCCTGCCTGTGGCCCTGGTATGGGAGGCACCCGCCCCATACCTGTTGCCTGAGCTCAACTGGGGGATGCTGGGCTGGGCTCCTGGGGGCAAAAGGTGGCTCCGAGGGCAGGACCTGCCCTGCTCCTGCGGGGTGGTTCTCGCAGGGCAGCCCCTTACCCACCCACGGTGTCTGAGCTGTCTGAGCTGCTCCCATGGTCCCCGAGGCTTCGGGGATGCTCTGACCTGATCCCCGTTCCCTTGTGGACTGCGATGGCAGGTGGCACATGTGCCGCCTGTTGTGCAGAGATCCCTTCCCCTCTCCAGTTCTTGGGGGCTTTTAGCACTGTGCCAAGCTTCAGGCTCGAAGGACTTTTTTTTCCCCAAGTCGAGGTAAGCTCAGCACAGTTCAACACTGCAGCAGAGGGGAGCTTCCCCCAGCAGGCAGAATCCCAGAAAAACCTTCCAGATTCCTACGTTTAATCCAAGGAAATCCTCTGGGATAACCCCACACTAACCCCACACCCATGTGCCGTGGTTGCTGGTGGAGCTGACGAACCCCCCCCATGCCCGTGCCAGCTTCCGAGGGGAGTTAAACCTGCTGCCCAGGGGCCCTGAGGGCAGGATCAGTCCTTTCTCCTCCCTGACAGGCAGGCTGGCCCAGGGAGCTCTGCCATGTCTCTAGCAGAAAGACCTGGGGCCATTGACAGCTAGGAGCAGCAGAACAGCTCTGGGGTGCAGTGTGGCCAAGGGGTGCTCGCAGGGCCGGTGGGGGTTTAAACCTGGGTCCCACAGATCTCAGGTACTTTCAGTCCCCAAGACCGGTTAGGGCTGCTGTGGCTCCAGCCCATCTTGTTTCCTCCTCAGCCACTTGTCCTCTCCAGCCCCAGCTCTCCTGGTGCTGCCACTGCTATCCCTGGCCTGGGAGCTCCCTGAGGTTCACTCGCTGTCGATCGGGATCCTTGTGCGATCCAGGTGTCTGCCTCTGCTTGTGCATGTTGGGGCAGCTCGTGCTCCAACCAAAAATACGAGCTGGGCATGTACTTTCCAGGCAGAGCTGGGACACATCCCACAGCTGATGGAAACACAGAGCATTGGCCTGTGGGATAACATCTCCAGCCAAAACCCCCCATCCGAATCTGCCTGCGGGGGCTTGGGCGAGTGGCCCGCTCTGGGATGGGCCTGCATCTGCCCGTCCTGCCCAGGCTTGGCAGGGGGAAGCCGGCTTTTCCAGTCCCCGTGGTGCTGCCATGCCGGTGCTCCTCAGGAGGCTCTCGGGAAGCCTGGCCCCACCGCAGGGGCTGTGGCTTGCACCACACATGCCAAAATCCCACCTGGCTCTCAGGGGGTACTGGAGGAAAGATGGGAGGAGCAAGAAGTGGACCCTGCAAGGTGAACGCTGTGGGTCTGCAGCAGGAGCTGTGCCAGCTGTCCAAGCATGGAGGCAAGTCTGTGGTCTCAGTCCTGCCCATCATCCAAGGATGCTGGGGGCCGCTTTGAGGTGAGAGCCCCCCAAACTCTCCTTGGGCTCTGGCATCCCTCAGCAAAGCCCCAGACCAGGCAAGACGCCAGTCCTTGGCCCCTCTCATTGGAGCAGGAGTGCAAGGCTGCTGCATTGCCACGGCACCTGGTTCCATACGAGGAGAGCATCCACCGCCCAGCTCGGCGTGGGCCTGGCCGCAGAGGTGGGGCTGGGGAGGCCCCAGCCCCCAGCGGACCACCAAACACCAGAAGCTGGGTTAAGGGGTGCACTGATGTCCCCCCACAGCCCTCTCTTGCTGCACCAAGCCCAGGCACTTCATGTGTGGTGGCAGATGTGGCGGATGGAAAAATAGACCCCAGTATTTCCTAGCTCAAGAGCATTGGTGCCTGGAGTGTCCTTATCGTGAGAAGATCTGGGTCACTGCTTCCATGACATTACAGAGCCCACGCTGGCTTTTGGAGCTGGAGCAGCCCCAAACCCAGCCTGGTTCCCTGGCACTGTGGGGCTGCCAAGAAACCCCTCTGTGTGGCACCTGGGGACGTTCGCTCCAGGATTGCAGACAGAGAGCCTCGGGCTGAAGAGAAGCAGCAAGGGCAGGGAAGCATCGTTCACGAGATCCACAAGAACTACTTTTCCCCCCCTTCCCTTCCCCAGGCTAATAACTTACCCTTTCCCATGCTAAAACAGGCCCAACTTGTTGGTCCCCATGGCCCAGCGCCAGAAACATCAGCGGGAGGCAAGGGACTAATCCGCACCGGGAGGACTGAGCTGTGCTGCTTCCTTTTTCCTCCCTTTTCACTATTAATGGCAAAGGTCGGGGGGACATTGTGTCTACGAGCTGTAGTGTTTATTTACTGGAAAAAGCCCTAGCAAGTGAGCCCAGGGCTCTCACGCCAGCTGGGGAAGGAAGAAGGAAAGCAGAGAGCAATGCAGGGTGACAGAGCTCCCCAGTGCCTGCAGGGAGGTCACAGCCAGCGTCATGCCAAGCTGCTGGCTGCGCCGGTGTGCAGCTCCCCGAGGAACACCAAGGCTGCAAGGCACGCGGCGTGGCGGGGCCGTGCCGGGCGATGCTTGCGGCGCTCTCCCGCCTGCTGCCCTGCATCCTCCCTGCATCCTGGCCGTTTCTGCGTTTTGGCCACCGGCACGCTGCCCGGGTGCTGTGGCGTGTTTACAGCACCAGGGGTGGAAGCCAGCACCCGAGAAGAAACAGGAGCAAACAGTGTGGAAAGGCTCAGGGTGGTCTCGGCATGGCTGACCAGGGCTAAGTACTAGAGCCAGCTGATGTGAGCCAAGATTGGGGAGGTTAGCTTCGGGTTACCAGTGTGTTTGCGGCACAGGAGCCAGCGGCCCAACGAGCCATCCTGCAGCCTCTCATCACACCCAGGGACCACGTCTTACCCCCAGGCTAGAGGTTTCCAGGCTGGCAGAGCGGAGGGTTGACAGCCATTCTGGGGCTGCCATGGCCACGCTGCCACTCGGGATGCCACTCACTCCGAGGAGTTCAAACTCGTGTCTCTCCGATGCTGGATCCCACTTGGCCTCCGCCTCCCACTGCTCTCTGGCCATTTTCTTCCAGTTCTTACTTGGTGGCCGATTTGATCTTGTGGATGGCATACGGGCTGGACTCCTTGGGCATCCAGATCTCCTCCCCACCACGGCCCTGGTGCTCCACTGCTCCCTCCATGGCTGCCGTCAGCTCAGGGCTGAAGATGCTGTCAGTGGCCCGGTAGGTGCGGGTGAGGCGGCGGAAGGAGGAGTCCGAGGAGCTGTCGTCGGGAAGGTCTTCGTCCTGCTCATCCCGCAGCTTGGTCCTGCTCAGCTCCAAGCTGCTCCCCAGCTCTGGGTCTTTTAAAGCCTCCCCCATCTCCTGGAGGAAGGTTGATTTGGGGCTGACGATGCACAGTAGGAGCATGAGGCCTCCCGAGACCCCACAAAGAAAGTAGAGCCCAACTTTCTCTGGGACACCTGGGGATGAAGAGCAAAGAGAGGCACCAGGGTACAAAGCGCCTCTGCAGCCAGCAGGTACCAGTACCCGGAAAACCCCCGCTGCTGGGCGCACGGGAGGAAGAGGCTGGGAGCAGGGATGCCCTCAGCACCCAAGCTGCAGCGGCAGGGCAGACCCCGCCCCCGTGATCTTTACCCCCTGGCGCCTAATCAGCCCCCACCAGTGTCCTGAAATGCCCCTTTCCCCACTGGAAACCCCCACGGGGAGGCGGGGTAGGCAGCACGGTGGGAGGAAGCGTCTTGCCAAGGACTTAAATCAGTAATTTCCCCTGACAAGGAAAACTTTCACCCACAGAGAGGTGCTCTTGGTCGGTCCTCCTGCAGACAGGGCAGGAAGGAAGCAGAGCCAGCGGGTAAGTCAGCCCACTGGAGAAGGAAGGTCCGAGGGCAGGACTGCAGTAGCACCGCGACTGCTGATGCTGTGGGACCTTGGGGCTTGTTAAACCTCCGAGCTCCTGCTCTACGTGCCCCCCTGGAAACCCAGCATGGGTGTTTGGTGCCCTCCTCCTTTGTGTGCCTGCTGACCCTGCTGGAGGGGTCTGGGGTCTGACTGTCTCTGAGCCAAGCCCAGGGCTGAGCAGGGGGCCATCATGGGACCCAAGCCACCCTCCCGAGCCCATCCCACTTCCCCGGGTGCTGTGTGAGAGCCGGGGAGGGCACGTACCCCAAAGGTGGGCAAAAGCTGCCAGAGAGCTAGTAAAAATCATCTGGTCTTCCCGGAGCCTGGAGAACCTGGGCCCTTTGTACCAGCCACCTGCAGCGAACAAGGGGGTGCGGGCTGAGACATGAGATGCTCCCCTGTGCCCTGCTACCTGCCCCTGCCTGCACAAGTGCTGCTCTACCCGCAGAGATGCTCCCCTGCAGGTCCTCCTCTCCCCTGCTCCCAGCAGCCCACATCTCTGCAGCCCCTCAGACATGGGCACCCATTGGTGGGTGGCTTCAGCCACGGAGCCGCGATGCTGGGGTGAAGCTGCAGGGCTTGTGCCAGCGGTGGGTACCATGGACGCAGGCAGGCCATGGAAAGGGTGGTTCATCTGCACATGGACACGATGCCGCACCGCTTTCGGCGTCGCCTCACCCCCACATTACCGTGCATGTAGTCCGAGAGCAGGAAGGGGTCCGAGGTGTCAGGGCCCACCTCCTCCAGCAGCTGCCTGGGCACTGCAAGGAGAGCACATGCCGAGCATCACCACCCTGCTCGTGCCCAGCAGCCCCCTGCCTCCCCAGGGAGCTCCTCGCCCCT